GGCATTGCGAAGTTTTTTCGGTTTCCTAAAATGGAACAATGTATCTTTGCCTTCCTCCCCTGAGGGCCTGGATGAGCAACTCAGCGCGTTCGTTGAGCATCTTTGGCATGAAGGTGACCCCAAAGGCCCAAGACAAGCTCCCGCATGTCCGCCGCCGCCTACCCCAAGCATGGCGGTTACTAAAGACGTGGGACAAGCATGAACTGCCTGCACGAGCCCCGCCGTTACTCCCAGAACTCGTCAATGCCATGTCTGGGTATTTCATCGCCCATCAGCAGGGCGCGTTGGCGCTTAGCCTGCAGGTGGCGTTTTATGGGCTCTTGCGTACTGGTGAGCTGCTGCTCATACAAGCGAAGGATGTTGCAGTTAGATCAGGTAAACCTATTGCGGTCATAAGCCTTCATCAAACAAAAGTGTCACGTCGTCGCGGCGTTTGTGAGGCAACCACATTGTCCCAGCCACACTTGGTAAAGCAACTTGCTGCATGGAAAGCAGCTGTCTCTACAAATGATTTCCTCGTTCCCGTCCCGTCTCACGCCTTTCGTGCAGCATTTCGTGATGCCCTCGTGTTTTGTGGTTTGCCCCTGGATTTCAAGCCATACTCGCTTAGACGACATGCCTGCAAAACCACCGGCAGCTATTCTCAGGTATGCCAGGCAGGTCGTTGGGCTTCCGAACGTACCGCTCGCATATATATTGCTGATGCAGTTGCGGCTTCTGTCGAACTTTCAGTACATGTCCCAGCCAGAGCTCAAAAATCCAAAAATGTGTTTTGGGAGCGGGTCCTTGAGCATCGTTAGACGAGTTTGCATTGGGGAAGTGGAAGGTGTCGTTGTTGAGTCCTGTCCCTTGTGTAGTTGACACAGATCCTTGCAAGGATGAGGACTTTGAAGCAATGTCTCCGCATCGTTGTTTTATTGTACAGTCGGATCAACCGAGATGCTCATGATGATTCCTGGATGCTCGTGGGATGGTTTTGTTTTCCTCCATGCGTGTTTCTCATTTTCTACGCG